CCTTGCAGGGATCCTGGCAGGGGGTCCCCCCAGCCCATCTCTGCTCCGCGCAGGCGGCGTCCCTGGAGCGTCCCGGCAGCCCCGACGTGTCCCTGTGCTTCGCCAACCGCTCCGCCGCCCTCTTCCACCTCGGGCACTTCGAGGTAAGCGGCCGCGGGCGAGCGGAGGTGCTGAGGACCCGGTCCCTGCGGAGCGAGTCTGCGCTCCCTGCGTGGGACTGGGGCCTCCTGCCCAATGTGGGGAGGAGGGAGGCCAAAGGAGAGCCCAAGCAGCACCCAGGGACATAGCGCCCAGCGCACGGCCGTGTTACACTTGCATGTGGAACTTGAGGTGAGCGCTCCTAGGACGTATTCTTGTAGCTTTACTTAAAGCTTCCCTCGTTACAGAGCTATTTCTGAAGAATTATTACCCCCTTTCTCCTTGGCGAATCCTTATTTGACCAACAACCACACGCTTATTTCGTTATGGGGAGGGAATCTGCTGATCAACATGATCTTAAATAGAGCCTTGGATTTGAGGTGATAAAAGAGCACAAGTTCTAACTGGTTTTCAAGTACATTTCAAAGGCCTTATCTTTGTTTCTAGGCTTGTTTGGAAGATATTGCAAGGGCGCAAGGTCATGGCTATCCAGATAAGCTGCTGCCCAAGGTCTTGCTGCGGAAAGCTGAATGTCTGCTGTGTTTGGGAAGGTCACAGGATGCAGCAGAGGCCCTCAGTGCAGTGGAGGATGAAATCACTGTACATCAGACTATGACAAGCGCTGCACACCAGGCACTGCTAAAAAAGATAAGTCAGCTGAAGAATAAAATACGTGAGAAAGAGAACTGTCCAGAGCCTGTGTCAGAAGCACATGATGCCATTCAAAGAGAATTGGAGATCTGGGAAGAGAATGACAGTATTTCAGGTGCATCTTCATCTCTGAGCTTGAAGTTTGATTTAGAGAGAGGACGTCACCTGGTGGCCTCTCAGGACATTTTGATGGGACAGGATCTATTGAAAGAGGAGGCCTTTGTAAGTGTTCTCTGCCCAGGGGAGAGTCTTTTGTTGCCTGACAGTGATGAAGGCACGTGGGACACTCAGGCCACTAATGCAGATCTTTACTGTCACCACTGTCTGAAGCAGCTTGTAGCCTCTGTGCCCTGCAGTGGGTGTAGTTATGCCAAGTACTGCAGCCAAAACTGTGCAGATCTGGCGTGGAAACAATACCACAGGACAGAGTGCTCCTTGGGATCACTGCTGCTCACGTTAGGGATCTTCTGCCACGTTGCCCTAAGGACTGTTCTGCTGGCAGGATTTGCAGAGGTTAGCAGGCTGGTGGAGCAGTCCCGTGATGATGACAAGGACCTTCATAACCCTGAAGCAAGATGTAAGTGTCTCAGCAAGGCACCAAATCCTAGGGCTGGTATTCCTGGGAAGGCAGAGCCTCTGATTCCTGGCTGTAATGACAATGGTCAGTACCAGAGTTCTTACCAAGCTGTGTTTAACCTTTTGCCACATACTGAGAAGCATAGTCCAGAACATAAGTTCCTTTGCATGCTAAGCGTTGTAGCACTGTGCAAAAAGATACAAGAAACTGGTCTAGAGGCTGCCCTCTTGAATCAGGAAGAATGTGAGGATGGGGTCAAACCAAAAGCATGTGAAAATGGGTCTGATGAACTGTCTCCACAGTTGAAAATTATGGCAGAAGCAATGCTGAGGCACGTGTTGCAGCTGCAGTGTAATGCTCAAGCCATCACTGTAATGCAAGAGTTGGGTAAGTTAAGCCCTTTCCTCTTATCCTTGTTCATCTAATTTGTGTGAAAGCAAAAAGACTGAATCAGCACTTGTGAAAAGCTCCTTTTACAGGTTGGAACAGCTACTTGTTTTTCTTAAAATATGATGTTCTGTTTACACTTACCTGTTCTTATTTTTGGGACACATTTAGATGGTATTCAGCTATTTTTCGTTACAACAATATGCCTGAAACTTTCCTGCTAATGTCTGTGATCGGGTACAGTGCCCATTCAATTACATTTGATGGGTCACTGAGCCTTCCTTCCCAACATATTTGTTTTTCCCTCTGTCCTTAGGATCTGAAGATGATCCTGTTGTAAATAAGAAACCGGTGCGCCTGGCAACAGCTTTCTTTCCTGTCCTGAGCCTTCTGAACCATTCATGCAGTCCCAATGTCAGTGTGTCATTTAATGGGGCAGCTGCCACCGTCCGGGCATCACAGCCAATCCCAAGGGGCCAAGAGATTTTTCATTGCTATGGTGAGTTTTAACTCTTTACCTGTCTCAAGATACAGCCATCCTTTCACTTGTCATGCAGGCTGATTGCTAACAGAATAGTAATTTCAAGTGTAGTGTTGTTAGAGCTTGTGCATATGTAGAAATCTTTGTCAAAAATATCAGAACCAAACCTTATCTCCAGAGTCCACTGTTTTGCTTTCACAGTCTCCAGTGTAATCCTCTTCAAAAGATGGTATATTTAGTTTCAGCCATAACAAGGATAGATTTTAGTGTGTTGTTACAAATTGTACCTGTTTAGCACTTCCTTATCTTCCTTTTACAGGGCCTGATCGATGCAGAATGAGGGTTGCTGAGAGACAACAGCTTCTTAGGCAGTATTTCTTTGAGTGTCACTGTCAGGCATGCCTCGAAGAGCTGGGGTCTGATGGCAAGAGTCTGGTGTCCAAAAGAAACTCATTCTGCTGCCCTAGCTGTCAGGCTTCAATGCAGGTAATTATAGCCATATAACATCAGGGCGTGTAACCTGGGAAGGTCACAGTTAAAATCTGAGTCTGTGGCCTCTGCTCTGAAGACAAAAAGCTCCTGCAGAATCAAGGTAGTGTTTCATTGCTCTCCAGCAGCTTCCTTGAAACGTTCTTGTATGTCAGTCTTCAGTGCTATAGGGAAAATGCTGCTTTTAACAAGGAGCTAAAATTCCTTTGAACTTACTGAAAGAAACTCCGAGTCTCAGGGCTGTGGATTGGGATAGTAAGGGTGTTTAGGAAACAAAAACAGAGATCCAAAGTGTAGAACAGAATGTGCATGCACAGGTGCTGCACATCATGGAATGTAAATGAAAGCAGCATCTAGCATGAGTTAAATGGGGAAAGTACTTTTTTGTGTGTGTTCCTCATGACATTTTTTGGCTTAATCTTATGTGAATTCAGATTGGCCCATATTATAGCCATTTCTGGAAGTTTCTTTTAAATATGAACAGTCTAATAGCAGTTTATGAACAAGTCTCTTTATTTAACAAATATAACTAAGGAACTAAGTAGCAGCTCTATACTACAATACAGATACTGAAAAGAAACTTTGAGCTGATCTTGAACCAAAATGACTTCCACAGGGGGAAGACACATTGTGTTGTTCAAACGAAGCTTGTGCACTCTCAGTCAGCAGAGAGAGTCTGTCACAACGTCTGTGGGACCTTCAGCAACGAATCAAGAAAGCATCAAAACTGCTAAGTGACAACAAGAGTGGTAAGGCTCGATTTTCTGCTTTAAGGTCAGCAGCTAATAAGGACACATTGGGAGATCTGGTCCCACCATGAGATGGCACTGTTGTCTACAAAATTGGGGTCTTCTGGCTTGAAGTCTGCAGTCCCTTGGGAGCTGAGCTTTAGGTTTTCTGATCTGGGTATTGATTCATGTCACACACTCTTCCATAGTCACTAAAAGAACTCAGGGTAATGTTGGATTAATACCTGGACCTTGTTTTCTGGACTCTATCTGGCTGACATTGTGTGAGAATAAGCAGAACTGCAGAGGAAATAGATATAAAATCTTAACTGAGTCCAAATCTAATTTTGTAAGATGCAACAATGAAAATGGATTGTGGCAAGCTGGCGAGTGGCCAGCAAGATTAATTTTATACCTTGTTTTGTAGATCGGGCCATCAAAATGCTCCTGAAGTGTCAGTCAGATGCTGGAAACTTCCTGTCTCCAGAGCATTTGCTGATGGGAGAGATGGAGGATCATCTGGCACAGGTCTATGCTACTCTTGGTATGGTTTTTACCTTCTTCCTTAAGCTTGTCTTTAGTTTTCTCCAGTTTTGACATCGGGACTCTCAGACTGCTTTAGCCAAACTTCTTTCCCAGCAGGCAAAGAACAACAGAGTGATCTCATGTCCTCCTGGTTTCTGTGTCCTTGCCTGAGGACAGCAGCCTTCCAGTAATGCTGTAGACATACTTCACCATGTTTGGAATAGTGCTGTCAAACTCTTTGGGTGACAGTAGTTCTATAAAGTATTTATTGCTCTTTTATTGCGTTTTGTTTTTGTTGTTCCATCAGGGAAGTGGCAAGAAGCAGCCAGGCACCTGCAGAGCAGTATTCGGATCGTGGAAATACATCATGGGCCATCGAGTGTGGAAATGGGGCACGAACTCTTCAAGCTGGCACAAATTCTCTTCAATGGGTAAATTTGCCTTCATTCTCCATCTCTTCTCTGCACCACTCCTGTGTGTCTGACAGTGTCATGGCAGTTTGTCCTTGACACTTTCTAGTGTGTCCCAAGTCTCCTGGGCAGTCTGGCACAAGTACAAAAGTTGTCCCTTCCACAAGTACAAGTTCAATAAGTGGGCCAATGAGGTTTGCTTCTGTCTTATGATCTCTCTCTTGGACCTGGTTTTGTGCCTGTGCCTGTCCATCCTTTTTACTTTCTGTCTCTGTTTATTCCCTGTCCTATTGTTTTATTCTGATAATAAATCACCTTTTGGCATTTATACCTACAATATTGTTGACATCTTTTTAAAAGGGGAATTAAAACATATTGCTCTTTGGCCCCTTTCTGAGCAAGAGAATAATCCAGCAATCTTCTAATAACATGTTTTAACTGTCTAAATTTTTGCTGGGAACTGCAGAGAGGCAGGAGTGAATATTTATACTCAAAGAATATCTTGAGTTTTGTCCATTGGCTACCCTTTTTCCTCATCATCTCTTGGAAGCTAAAGTGGTATTTGCCCGGTGCTGAAAGGCAGTGGAGGGTAGGATCTATAACCATGAACAGGCTTAGTGTTTTATTGGGGAAATTAAAGGAGCTGAGTTCAGTATCTCATATATTTTGTTCTTACTCTTTTCCTATTTCAGATTTGCTGTTTCTGAAGCTCTGAGCACAATTCAAAGAGCAGAAGAGATTTTGTCAGTGCACTGTGGTCCTCAGAGTACTCAGATCCAGGAACTAAAAGAGATGAAGACCTGCCTGCTAGAGCTTCCCAGAAGCATCCTTCAGAGGACTTAAAATTCCTTATCAAAGAAAGCTGCGATGCTTATCTTTCATCAGAGCTAAGCTTCATGTGGTAAGGCAGTCATGTAGTACAAGCTGGAAAATCATGCGTAAAAGCAACTTGAGTGAACTCTGAAATGGTCTTTAGTGAGACTGTTGTAAATAAAATTCAAATTCCAGCTCAAATATGAGGAGTCTGAGTAGTAGAGTGGAAATGGATGCTATTGTATAGAGTTTCTGTGTGCACATTAGAAGGAAATATTTGAGATGTCTGTGAGTGCATGTGTGTGTTTTTAGAGGTGTGAATATTCTGTGTGTGGTAGCCTGCTGGTCTTGAACAAGAAGTTTTCCAGGGTGCATTGCCCTTTATTCTAACACTATGAAGCATTTGCCTACCAGTCAGCACTTGCATTCTTGCCAGCATGAAGGTTGGAATGGACAAGGGAGCAGTCTGGGAAATATAAACTTACAAGCTGAGCAAAGGAGATGCTTCAGAAGTTGAAAGGCTACCAGAGCAGACCTGTGAGCAAGGAGGAATTCAATATGAACAGAATTGGCTTTGGCTTGGAAGGCAGGAGAGGGGAAAATGCAGTATACACCAGGCTGAGGTTTGCATAAACAGCTATGGCTCAGTCTGTGGAAAATAGGTGTATGAAGGCACATGGCATAGGGCAGTGTTTCAAGGGAGAGTACCGGGACTCACTGAAAATAATGGCAAAAGCTCTTTTATTGCAGCATGAAGGCATAAGATTTGCAAGTTGTGTCTTTGTGCAGCAGAGCAGGGAGCCAGTATCCCTCCAATACCACCCTTTCCACTTGGGCCCCACCATTGCAGACTACTGTGAAGGGCTCTAAATGCTCCTGGGGTCCAGAATCTTGCCAATAAAGAGTAGGGTTCCAGTGGTATCATCTCGCAGCACAAGAATAAAAGGTTTGTCCACATGATACTCTATGGGGAAGGTCAGACGAGCAGCGTTTGCCCCAGCGTTTGGTGTTGAACTTGCCCCATCCTCGCTAAGCTCCAGAATTGCCTTGTGTTGCACATGAGATAGCTTAATTGGCTTGGAAGAAATCTTGGTGAAATCAGGGGTTGTGAAAAGTGACTGGAGCCCTGGAGGGAAGAAAGAGAATTCTATTAGCTAAAAACATAGATGTGGGTTGAGGGAATGGTACTGCGAGTGCTGTGATCCAGGAGGACACAGTGCTGCTCAAAGCTCATTGGTGGTAACAGTGAGAAGCAGATTATATCTGCTTATACTGAGCTTCTCCTCCTTGATCTCAGAAAGATTCTATAAACTCTGAAGACAGATCTGATAAAAAGTTAAGGGGACTTGTATGAAAGAGGTTTAGTTGCCAGTGAAGTCTCTACGTACTGACAGCAGAACCAAGCTAACTAATAATCCAGCAATTTCATGTTTTTCTGAGATCAGGAAGCAACTTGCTCACTGCTCTGAGCCCCGGCAGTCTGTAGAGGGAGTTGATGCACGTACTTGTTTCCTTTAGAGTGTTGCCAAGTGCCTCTTCATAGTTCATCCGTAGTTTGGGCAAGCTTAGCACAGCGTGGACTGTCTTCAGCTCCTTGTCTACATCATGGACAAACTCAGAAGTGAGACTCTCCTCGATCAGAGTCATATTCTGAGTCACCTTCGTGGGCAGGAAGAACATGGCACTGACTCCCCCTGTCAGTGGCAGCTGAGCAATCTGGAAAGACAGTCAGAAATAAGAAAGAATCATATCCATAGTAAACAGTTTTTACCCTCCCAGCACAGGACTGAATCTTGATTGCCTGCTTAGCCGTTCCTGCTGTGTATCTTGTCTTCTCCCCTGTTTGTTTTTACTGCATATTGTGTTTCCTGACCTTGCTGATGGCCAGGCTTTCATCAAGCAGTGCTGCACCCTTTCTGCTATTACATGGCAAAAGCTTTCCCTCACCTGTTGAATCCTGTAGTGAGCTGCAGTATTGCTTTGGGGGATTCTCAGCTGGAACACCTTCTTCTGAGCTCATGCTACAGTGAAAGATTTGTTGAAAGAGGTAGAAATTGAAAAGTTTTGGGAAGTGTGCCCAACCCTTCTTGCCCAGCTTTAGTTAGAGCAGTGCAAGTGAGTAGGACTCTGCTTGTCAAAAGGTCACTGAAAAAGTAAAATATTCTAGGAAGAATCAGACTTTCAAAGTCAGGGATCATAAAGCTACTTTGATGGGAAGAGCAGGGGTTTTTTTCTGGAATGGGTTAACAGGTTAAGTGTAGCTAAGCCTGTTCCCCAGTAGGTTAGGAGATCTTATGCAATATTAGCTATCTGACCTTGCAGTTGAGTTCCGAGTCAAAACCATATCGCAGGATGGCTTTGGGGTCTGACATCATGGACACCTTCACAGTTCTGTCCTCATCCAGATGGAAGTCCTTCAGAGCAGTCTTCTTGGTGTCAAACTTGGTTCCCCATGTCCCTGTTGAAAAAACCAAACAGAGGATCTTCTGGAATAATAGCATGCAAAACCAGAGATGAGTCTGGTTGAGTAATCTTGTGCTTTATATATGCAATATTTGTGCTTTAGGAGCTGAGGCATAACTGAATGATGGTTGAGATGGGAATAACTGATTGGACCTATTGATCTATTGCCACTCTTAGGCCTCCCTTTTCCATGTGAGAATTGACTAAGTGGGAAATAAAAATATCAAGCCGGCATATGGGTGGAGTAGCATTTGGGAAGCTGATGTCTATTTATGTAATTACAAAACTATTTTAAAGGGTAACAACTGTGTCAATGCACACGAAGTGCTTCTCTCCCCACCCTTTGTGTTTTGCTTGCTGTCTCTAAGTGATAATTCTCCAGGACACCCACTTGCGTGATACTAGATTACAGCATGTTCTGGAACAGCTCTCTAGTGTAGCCCTCCGTGCCCTCCGCAGCGGTACTCAAGCTCAGTGCAGTCTCTACAGCTGTGCCTTCCCCACGTGGTAGTATTGTCTCTCTTGCCATTGAGCTTTACAAGCTTGGACTTTTACTGCAAACAGCTCAACTCGCCTTTCTAGCAGTAATAACTCCTTCCTTGAGAACTATTTCGTGTTCAGATAGCCTGCATTTCCTGTAGTTTATTGAACAAATACTTCATACCTGCATTCCACGACATTCTTCTGATACTTTGTCTCTTTGGCACTGGTTTGTTGGCACTGAAATCGCATCCCTTCTAATACAAGCTTAATGGAGCAATGAAGTACACAAGGTTCTTACCTTTGAAGTAGGCAGCTCCAGCAAGGAGAATACTGACATCCGAGGGCATCTCTTTCATAAACCGCATAATCCTCCCCTTCGTCTGCTGCCGTACCCAGTTGTTGATCTCTTGGAGATCTAACTGGGAATTGCCACTGAGTGTCCTCAGCCGCATTTTGTAGGACTTCTCCAGCTGGCTGGGAAAACCGGGCTTCATCCGCAGTCCTGGGGAATAAAAACATCAATATTGCAGCCAGTTCTCATATCAAAATGAGCTGAAGACTGTGGCTTGCAATCACAGGCCTTGCAGCAGCTCTCTCACAACCAGATCTATGGCTGTGTGTATAGACACTTGCTTTGAAGAAGAATGACTGAAAATGCATGGAGGCAGCAGTCCTATAACCAATGATGCTGGAATATGGGGAAACCCTCTCCTGAGAAGTGAAGATGGGAGATAGGAGCAGAAGACTGGGACACAGCTATTTCTATAACAGCCTTTCCTCCTCCTTTGATGCTCTGTGTGAGTGCAGCTTACTCAGCTTCTTGAAACCAGCAAGTTAACCAGCCAAAATACAGCTCTTTGCTTTCTCAGATACTCAGTGCATCCCCAAAACAGTCATTCTGAATACTCCTGTAAGAGTTTAAACAAAGGAATACAGCTGAACGCTATCACAGTTAGAAAATGCAGTTTGTGATTCCTGGGAGTTGGCAATACCTGCCAGGAAACCCTAGAGCACAAGTAAAACCCTCACAGCAGGCTTTCTTGAGGCCTTCTGCAATGCTAGTTGCTGTCTCCAGTGTCTTTTGGCACATAAGCCTGATCTTTTATTTATATGCACGCAAACTTTCCAGGCTTTATCTGGAGCAGCAACTGCATTCCATGTGCTGCCTGCTTCCAGGCTCAGCAGGATGTCAGACCCCGAGCTGTTACTGTGCTTTCTCTTGACTGTGTTCTACCTGCTGCTAGTTATTGAGGTAGATTTTGATAGAGGGGAGGAAGGACATTTACTTTTTTCCAGGATGATACGGGAGGCACTTTTCAGGCCCTTCTCCGGCGCGCTGACACTGGTCAGCAGGTCCTTGTAGGTGTTGTGGACTTCAGCTTTGTTGAGCAGGTCATAGAAAAGAGCACGGGAAATCACGTCCTCCGTCCGCTCCCCGGCGCCTGCCAACGACCAGGATAACGTGAGCGAAGGCCCTTTGAGCCCCGGCAGCGTGTGAGGAGAGGGCAGGGACTCACCCAGGGAGAGGCCGGAGAGCGCGGTGGCCAGGCTGAACGGGGACAGCAGCACGTTGGCCGTGGCCGTCCTGCTCGACTGCTGCCGGTACAAGTCATAGCCAAAGTTGGAGACCGCAGCTGCCAGCTTGTTCACGGGGCTCTTGTAGAAGGGATCTTCCTCTTCGGCGTCGCCCGCGTTGCCTCCATCGGCAGGGGCAGAGCCCTGGCAGGCAGGGAAGCGCTTGGTTTAGTCTCTCTCTTTACAGAGACAGGCACAGATATGATGAGCATCTCAAAGGCAACCAGTCTACAGAGGTTCTCTTATGATCTTACTGATAGGGGACAGTAGAATAGCAGCTTCACTTTAAAAATGTTCCAATAAAGAGAAAGGCAGTGTTTGGATTGGAAGCCACTGTTTCTGCTTCACAGCCATCCCCTCATAAAACCCCATTACTGTGGGTTTTATCTAGGTGAAGCAGGGGTTACTCTTATGTTGCTAAATAAAACCCTGCTAACCTAGGAGGATAGTTCTTAATGTTTTCATAAGACTTATAAAATTAATTTACCTGCTCCAAGGATCTTTCCTTGCTCTCTGCTGTTACGTCCTACTCACCTGCCCAGCAACTGAGTTCTGGGATCTGCTTGGGACAACTAGGAGACCCAGGAAGAGGAGAATCGCTGGAATCTGCATGCCTGAACCTAGAGAGCAACGTGACAGAGTGAGTTTGAATAACAGAAGTGAAAATGTCTCTGCAACTACTGCTTGCTGCAACTAGTTTTGACAGGAACTGCAGTGATGGATGCTGCTGCTTGCCCCTCCTGGTTGTGGCAATGGTCTGAAAGATGCACCTGATCTCAGCTGGGTTTTCTTCTTCTTCTGTAGCTTGATGTATTCATCAGCCTGGCCCTGATGCCTTTGAGAATGGGACCAGCACAGGTGCTTGAGTGAGCCTAGGCACAAAAGCAGATGCGTGGCCCAATCTACTGCTGATGTTTTGAGTTTTACCTTAAAATTCAAAATTTCAGTATCCTTAGAAAGTAGCAAATCTAGAATGTTGAATGGGGGAGAAGACAAAGGTAACTGGCTACCTGCTTGGGGCTGTACTTTGCCATGTTTCTTTTGTCTGCATGTACATGGAAGGCCATACAATCTGTATGATTCTTTTGCCTCTTATAAAAAGTGGCAGTAGAAGCGTTCTCTAAAAACAGAGTGAGGAAAGAGTCTGGAGGTAATGCCTTACACTGGGTCAGATCTAGAGAGGAGGTGAAAGGCAGAGCTTGGCTCATTCAACATTTCTAAGGGGGACAAGGGAAGAAAGCACCAAGCTCCTCAAAGCTGATAAGCCTTTTCTTCTGTAGAATCCAGTTCTAATCCCTCCTGTGTTGGCATATGTGGCCCTTCCAGACTGATCTGCCTGGTGCAAAGGGCAGTGTGTAGCCCAGTTTCACCCTGGGTAGATGAGAGCTGCTGCAGAAGTGTCATGCCCCTGAGAACAGCCGCCACCGAGGCTGGGCTGAAGCAATGTTTGTAGATTCCCAGAAATTAAAGGAAGAGGTTTGTATTTAACTAACCCCTGTGATTCAGGCATCCAGTGAAGCAGGAGAAAAAAACATGTGTTTCAGATTAGCTGCAGCTGTAAAGAAAACATCCCTGTTGGTAGAAATAAAGCCACGTGGCTACAAGGGCCACAGCTCTAGAAGCAGCCTGATCAGGGTGAAGTTTCAGTTCAGTGAAAGGGAGTTTGCTGCTTGTTTCTCTATGGAGACCCTTTTCTTTGGCAGATAGTCCTGCTTTAGAGAAAAAGCTATCACAGGGGAGATTTTAGCAACCTCCTGCTGCCCTAGGCTCTACGTAGATGGGGTGTCCTGGTAGAGAAGAGGCACATCGAGAGGTTTTACTATGCTGCAACACACTGACATGTTTGGTGATATGGATGCGATGTAGAGACTGAGCATATCTCATTGCATAGTTTTAAAACACGTAGCCAGCATGCTGAAACAGAGATGACAGAAGCCCTGCAAGAGCCTGGGTGAAGGAGATCTTTGATAGGACTTTGAGGGTGCCTGCAGGAAGCATCATGAGTGGAAGAGGTTGGGGCCAGTCTCGTTTGGAGATGAAGTTTTCCATGGAGTGTAGCCTTTCCTGTAAAAAAAAGAGCTGGACACAACCTCTGCTTCCAATAGCCTGAGCTCCTGGGAGTATAAGCGGAGATTGGATTCCCAGATTTGTATTGTTTTTGCCAGCACTGTCACCAGCTTCATATTTCTCAGACTTTGCCAAAAAGCAATTTCCATTTTAGAAAGACAAAGCCTTTTGCATTTGAATGGGCCTGAACATCTGGATTCCATTTGCGCGTCTCTGAGCACACAGCCAAAACTGCAGAGAGCAAAGAATTTGGTTGGAGTAGAGGTGGGATGGTTTCAGGCATGATACTAAAATCTGTAGCAGTCTTTTAAAAAGAAGGGATGGAGCAGCAGCCTGCAGCGTGTGATGCTGCAGTCAGGAATAGAGCTTAGAGAAATGAGCTGAGAAGAAGCCTGGGAGTTGTCTGGTGTAAGCCCTGCAGGTACAAGGTGGAATATTTTGCTTTCCATTAACAGTGCTAAAAGCCTCAATTTATAAATGCTTTTTGTTCAGGAGGTGCTATAAAACATCACCCACGATTTCAGACTTGCTCTCTCTGATTGCTCTGTCCCGCAGCGCCAACTACTTCCGAAGCATCTAGTCTAGGGCATTCGAGTTAGTCTTGACCCAAAGCGTTACCGGTGCAAAGAGAAGACCTCCTCAGAGCTGCTAGGAGGGCAAAACGCTGCTGCAGCTCCCAAACACGCATCTCCCCTGCGAGCAACAAGGGGGGCTCCCAGCCCTTGGGCAGATCCTTCCTTTGGTGCCGCTCTCACCCCTCGTCACCTGCGTTAGACCCGCTTGCCCAGGTGGCAGGTCCCCAGCCTCATCCCTGCGCCCTCCTGGCGCTCCCGTCTCCGTGGGCTCTCCGAAAGCCCCATGGAAGCAGCCGGGGCCGCCCTTACCTCGGGCTCCTGCTGGCCAGGGCCGTGTGGCTTCGCACCGGGGCGACGCGGGGACAGCGCGGGGACAAGTGCGGCTTCGGTGCAGCCACATCTGCTTTTTGCTGCCTGCCCCAGCCCAGCCTTCGCAGGCTTCAGGTTACAGCTTCCCAGGGCTCTCTTAAAGAGCTCTGCTCCCATTTTCGGCACTGCAGGCACTAAATTGCTACTAGCTTTTTTAACCCTGGCTTCCCAATCCAACGCGCTCGGTGCGACCGGGGCAGCGGAGCGGTTAAAACCCGGGACTGGGAGCCAAGCGGTCGGTCCGCTGTGTTTGAGCAAGCCTTGGATCCCTCCAGTTTTGCCCAGGGTTTGTCCCAGGAGGGAATGGCTTCTGTCCCAGACGTGTTGTTAACAGTGCTATTTATACGACTGCATTTTAAGATTTTACTGAGTGACTTCTAAAGGGTTCAGCTGCAGTTGAGGGGCAGCTATTCAGAAGTGATTCTAGCCAGTGCCAAGAAGTGCTTAATGCAAGTGGCCTTAGCAAAAGGGATGAAGGAAGGAGGTTAGGAAGAGTAATTCCTGCGTGCTCTCACTTAGCTTGTGTGGTCCCTCGGCTAGGAGGAAGAGCTGGCTTTGGAGAACCGTGAGCTGCTGCGTTTGGAAGCAGGAGAAGCAGCCAGCGAGGCTGCTTTCCGATCAGCCAGGGCTCTGGAGGTGATGCTTGCTCAATAAGAAGAGTAACAGCTCCACTCCCAACTGTTTCTCTGCTTGTTTCGTGAGAAATCGTCTGCAGAAGGATGTTGGTACTTGTTAGTCCTGCACCACGTGCCTGAGAGCAGGGGTGTTAGCTGTGGCAATACGGTCTTCTCTTTTTGATACATTATTTTTGGAATTAATGTGTCCTTTAAGGAAAGGCCATTGCAGGAGTTTCTACATCCTATCTGTACCTTCAAATGAAACCTGAAACCTGATCAGTTTAAATAAAGGTTTAGTTTTAGGCTATTTAAGTCTTAGTGAAAGCTGTATAGACCTTTATTATAGTGTAAAGCAAGTTTTGTTCCTATACATAGAGCACATCCCTCAAACAGCGTGCTATATGTCAAGTTAGATGTAAGGCTTTAAATCGATACCAACATTTTATGGATACTTTATGGTTTTGGTTTAGGTTCAGGATAGCAGGCCATATGCTGTCTGAACAGTGCCTGGCTTTTTGCTATGGAAGTTCTGGATGACATTCGTATGAATTTGCTTTAGTAAGACAAAATACTTCTGATACTAAAGATATTGAGAAATATTTGATATTTTCACCCAATGATGCAGATTAAGTCACAGAGCAAGGCCCCTTGTCATGTCTGTTCAGAATGGAGCTGAATCAAAATGAAGGCTGAGCAAGGCAAAGTGAAAATGCCTGAGCAGAGATATTAATATTACTTTGCATTTTACAAGCTGCTTCTTTTGGAGAGTCAGTGGAGCGAAAAGTGTCTTAAGGTTGGTGTAACGGATAATTTGTTGAGCAAGATACAGTCACAGAGGGCTGCTGTATGTTGATTAATATTAATATTTTCACAAGAATAACTAGGAGGAGGAGAGGAGGAAGGATGGTAGAAAAGGAAGACAGGAAATAAGAACCAAGCTGTTTAGGGAATGGAGAATGAAGGGGGAAAAAAAAGAAAAAAACAACAAAAAAAAGAGTTCCTAGAGGAAGATTTGAAAAAAAAAAAGAGAGAGAAAACAACAAAAAAAGAGTTCCTAGAGGAAGATTTTTGCTTCAAATTTGGGACAGGATGCAGTTCAACAAAGTTGAATTTGGGAAGATTAGAGCTGAGGTTGCAGTAGCCAAAGTAGGACTTACCTAAAGCACGGCATGGTATTTCTAAATGTTAGGAATGAATCTGTATAAATAAAACAGCTGAAATGTTCCCTGTGGGCTAGAGCTGTGCCCTTGTAGTAGGTTTGCATTCTTGTGGGTTTGCTTGTTAAATTACGTGGCCCTGTAATTAGACCCTCTTTTTGAAGGGTACATGTCGTGGCGTTGGTCGCAGGGGTGGGTATTGTCTTTAGCCATTTTCCCCTTTTAGACTGCAAGAAATGTGTAATTGCAGGCTTGAGCCAGGACTTTTTCTTCCCCAAAGTCTCCTTTGCCCCCGAAATTCGTGGTTAGTGACTCAGTCCTGCTGTTCCAGCAGATGGTGCAGGCACGGAGGCTCCCGAGAGCTCTGCCTGCTGCGCCTGCCTGCGCGGGAAGGCCGCCTTCCCGAGCAAGGAAAACGCTGCCAGCAGGACGGCCCCGGGGCTCTGTCACTGTTATTTCACAAAAATAGATCACCGATTTTCTTTTTCCTCCGAAGCAGCAAGTTCTGAAGCAGAATGTGCTATGGACAGCGCTTGTTTTGCACAGAAATAGCTGCAGCGCAGCAGGCTGTGGTGAGTTAGACTGATGTTTGCAGATGTATGGATCCTTTGGTGAGGTGGAGGGCTGCCCGGAGTCATTCACAGTAGCTTATTCCAGATGTGCACATCAGAATGAGGATTCCCTCATACAAAACTGAAGTTTTTACCAGAAATTGCCATTTACCAGAATGCAAAATTTACCGGAATGCAAAAGTAGTGACGTCCAGCTACAGGCAACCCAGTCTGCCTGTGCCTCCCCTGCAGCAATCACAGCTGTCCGTAACATTGTGCTGCACACCCGGAGCATCCCAGGAGGAAGACAGGCCAGAGCAGCACCTTCCAATCACCTAGTGCATCACAGCAAGACCCAGTTTTTGCCCCACAGGAAGATAAAGGTTTGTCACATCCTTGTGTACTAATGCATTAATGTTCGTAGGCCAAATACCCTCCCAATCCCTCTTCCATGGAGCTCATTTCCTAATTCAAAGAATTAGGCCCTTACCCCAAAGCCCTTTGAAGGGTTTCTTCCCCATTCTTCAGCCCAGATGGCCAAAGCTGTCTCTGGCCTCGGTCTTTAGAGAGTCTTTACTGATAATCCCTTTCACCCCACATCTTTGTTGTCCTCTGTGATCAGCAAAAATCTGATCCTCCTCAAGATCCCCTCCTGTCTGCGTGTTTCAGGTCCAGATTCTTTTTTCCTCCCTAATCTTTGCACCCAGTCAAGCTGGTTGCCCGTTTCCTTTCTCTGCTGGGTCTTCCAATGCAACGCCCAGAACAAACATGTTCTGCTTCACTCTTTATTATTTTGCCAACATAAAAATTACTAAAAAATACTTTATAAAATATGCCTTGAAAATCTAACATTTCCCAAGACCCTAGAGTTTCTCAGAAAAAGGACTAGAGATGGGGATGCAAAGGAATTTCCTCTTACTGGAGACCTTCCCACAACAGATCCCGATAACCAAGAAGTGGGAGAGAGGAATATTTGGAAAGAGCCTGTGCCTGGAAGTGTCTGTGACTCATCCCCGGGCAAACAACTGGTCCAGTTCATTCCAAGATCATTTTCTATGTGGGTACAAAGAGACACGGTTTTCAGAGGAACGCTCCGAGGAAGGCATGTTCACAGGAAGCGCCGAGGGAAGGGCAGTATTAATGTCTCTGGCTGTTGGCCAGGCTGCCAGATGCTAATGAAGATTCCAGGCTATGGGAGACACTAAAAGAGTCTAATAAGGATGCTAATAAGAGTCTGGGGACAAGGAACCTCCCTTCAGGGCTGAGAGCCCTGGAAGGGAAATCCAGGCATGTTTTTCAGGGTCAGCAGAGGGAACACAGCTAGGAGAAGCTTGTCAAGGCTGGAATGGGATATCCCGGGATTGGTCTTTAGGGATCTGTGAAGGAAACAGACCTTCTATGGCCTTAGAGGGAGGTCTCCAGCAACAGGACACCTTGCTTAGCTGGTAGCGGTCCCAGAACTCCCAGGCTCTGCTCCTCGCTTATTTGGGCATAGGATACTCAGTGACATCTGTGACATTATGTGAGTCCTGTGGCTCTTTCACCTGGGGAGCAGCACTGGGATTAGGGTTCTGGATGCTGCCTATAAAAAGCGGGATGCCTGTTTCTTCATCAAAGATAATGAAGAGAAAGGGTCGGTCGAGGCTGAAGGCAGAGAGTGACCGTGACAACATGACGCCAGTAGCAGCCGATGCTTCCACCCCATCTTCTTTAAGCTCCAATGTAGACTGGTGCTGTATGCTGGATACAAAGAGAGGTTCCTCGGTGATCTTGCGGAGGTCTGGGTTTGTGAACAACTCCTGGAGGCCTATGGAGAAATCAGGCAAAGTTAACGCTTCCCGTTGGGTGCCACAGCCAAAGGTACCTGGAGGAAGCAATTCCCTAACCCGTTACTGCATGTGTTGTCCAACACTGAGGCCTGGAGAACTTGCAGGCAACAGAAATAAAAGCTGCAATGTAGCCAGGTTCTCCAGCCCTGGACTGCATGAAACCTCAGGTGCCTTGGCTAGAAATAAAAGGGATAGTCAATGAAATAGGGCAATAGAAAGAACTCAAATATCACAAGGAAGTGTGAATGATTGATAATAAGCATCCAGAACCTTTCAGCTCTATCTGCAACAAGCTGTGAGCACAACTTTACAAGCAAGGTTTGCAGTTTCGAGTGTTAGTGAAGAGATGATCTATATAGATCTTATTCTGCACAAGTCCCGAGAGAGCTCTTACCTATTTGACTGAGAACCTTGTTGAGTTCCAGCTGATAGTCCACCTTTAATTTGGGGATCTTCACTGTGGTGGGTACCTCTTTGGGGAAGAGGCTGCGTAGCTGTTCGTAAGGGAAGTTCTCCAGCACATGAGAAACATTCCAACTAAACTGGTTTGGTACAATGGCCAGGAAACTCATGTTACCCTTGAAGGGAAACTTGGCCACCTGGAAACAAAACCAATGAGAATAATTTATAGAAGAGGCAGGACAGAGTCCAAAAAGTGATGCTATTTTTTCTTCTGTTTTGGTTATAGCTAGTCTAGCCATAGGAGGAAAACAATCTGGTCAGAAGGAGATGTCTGATTTCTCCAGAGAAGGAAATTTTTGCTGGAATTGCAGCATCCGATTTTGGTGTTTAGTATCATGAAACACCTAGGGAGAAAAGTGTGTGCAGACATTGTACCTACTCTTTCACTAGCCATATTCTAAAGGAAAATCAACTGCACACTGTTTGGGGGAATTAGCTTTCCATATTCCTCATTTATCTTTAACTGAGCTTTAAAACTCCATGATTTTCCCACTTAGTTCATATCCCTTCTTGATTTTCACAAAGCTGAGAGCAAAGATTTAACTTTCTTGCTAAAAACAAGGACAAAGAATGCTTATTAACTTATTATATGTTGTGTTCCCTGTGAGAATTCATTTGCTTTGAGGAGAGTATAGTTGTACTCAGTGAAATGGAATAGGAAGAGGAACACTCCTAACAGAGCCTTACCTGAATGTCCAAGGGCTCCAGTGTAAACCAGCTCAAGGAGTATTTCTGGGCTTTCATCATCTCAACTGGGACCATGAAATCATTATCAAGGTGGAATATGTCTGGCTCAGTGAGGTTGGCATCAAACTTAGTCCTCCAAAACCCTGTCAACATAAAAGTTGAAAATACAACAAAGTTGAATTCAGACTGGAAAACAGAAACTACCTAGACAACACTGCTCTTATCATGAGTTCTCAGAGAAGGCAGATAGTGATGAGACAAGTAGAAATTACAGCAAAGAGAAGTTGGTACCAAGGCTGGAAAGAAAAACTAGCAGCAGGAAGCCCTTATCTTCTAGAGAGGGACTATGGAAATAACAAAGTGAACCAGGATTAATCCTCATGCTTTAGCGTGGGAGATTACTGAAGGCTATGAAGATAAAGTAATGGATGTTTGTGAAGTGCTTTGAAAAACGAAGAGTGTTGCCTTTGTGCTAAGCACTGTGAAATAGCGCTCCAAGAGCAAGCAAAACGCTTGCAGATTTACCCAGGAATTAAATCTCTGTGAGTATGAGGCAAAAATTCTTCCAGATGCACCTGCTACATTCTGGCTCTGCTGTTAAGCAACGTTTTTAGCACAGGTGGAACAGTTTGGAATCATGAGTATAAAGAAACCCAAGCAAGAGGAACAGTAGATATGGAGGAAAAGAACAAGCAGATTGACAGAAGACACCATCCAACTTGGGTGTCTGTTCTAACTATTCCTCGGCATGGTCAGGCTTGAAATGTAAGTCCTGCAGCGCTCACCATGGAAGTGGATAGCACTGAGCAAGAGCATCACTGTGTCCTCAGGGAGCTGGCGTAGGAAGGTGGGTATTTGCCCATTAGTTGCCAGCTCTACCCACTTGTTTATGGCCACGAGGTCACGCTCGCTGTCCCCAGACAGCGTCACCGGCTTGGCCCCGTAGAATCTCTCCGAATCCTCCAGGAACTTCTCTTTAACCTCCAATCCTGGCAAGGGGGGAAGAATCATGAAGTTAGCAGGACTCGGGAAAGAAAAAAGGCGGGAGAAGCGCAAGCCGTGCTCACCTTTGCGCAGGTAGACGCGTGCCGCGGCGCCGAGCAGGGCCTCTGCCAGCCTCGCGCGCGCGTTGCGCAGCCCCTGGTGCACGCAGGGCACCGGCGCCAGGCGCAGGGCCTCCAGCAAGCGCCGCTCCGTCCGGTTTGCTGCTCCTGGAAAGGGGAATCGAGTTCCTGTTAGTTCATATGAGCTGCTGCAAAGCAGGGGCTGTTGTTCTGGCTGCCCCGCTTAAGGGACACACCGTGCCCTACAAAAGAGGCTGTGGAAACTTGAGAGCAGGAGCCTCAATGAGGGACGCTGAGAGCAGCTGCAATTGTTACAGAACCTAATTAAAGCTACAGGAGTGAAATTAAGGGAAAGGTGCTGCTGTTTAATCTCTGCATTCTGCACATTAGCTCCTAGTACCTCCAGGAGAGAAGCAGGAGCTGCTGCTTTTGCCACTAATAAATTACCTAGTGCCAGGTGAGACAAGGCGAGGGTGATGCTGAGGGGAGACAGGATCACGTTGTTGCTGCTGGGCTCCAGCTGGACCTCTCTGAGGAGATCAAAGCTGAATTTCATCAACCCTTTTGCTAGTCTGTGGCTTTTCTTCCCGATCTTGTCACAGGTTTTATCTTCGTCCTCATCTTCCTCCTCAGAAGAGCTAACTTCCCCCGGGTCTCCATCACCGCCGCTGCCTGGCGCTGGGGTTGTGGTGGTGGATGGTGTCGTGGGTCCATAAATGTCCTCCCAGGTGTCGGCGGTTGAATCCCTCACCTCGGTGCGCAGCGGGGGCGGAGCCGCTTCGGGGGGATCTGCCGTGGTGATCTCCAGCTGAGCAGCACCAGCCCCTTTCAGGTCCTGGGAAGGAACAAGGACAGCTTGGAGAAGCGGGAGGAACCGCACGGGCTTCCCTGGTGCTTTCCCTGCAGTCGCACGCAGCCTGCACAGCAAGCTGAACAAATTGGGATTTTCTTATTCCCCAGCACTGCTAAATTGCCCTGCCTGGGCTCGTCCTAGCTCAGGACAAAGTGGAAAACCACTGCAAATGCCACGGCGTAACCTCAAGCCCCTGCATAGGAACCAGACGTCGCTTACCTTGAACTCCACGGCTTTGTCTAAGGAGAGATGCTTCTGCTCAAGGGCATGTGCCAAAGGAAACTGGAAGGAAAAAGGCCAGATAGTTTCCTGTGATTTTCCGTAAGTTGATTCTCTTTTCCCCACTCCTAACACATTTCTGTGGATGCAACATTGGCACCACCACAGCTGCAGCGATAACAAGAGCATGGACACGGCTTCAGGATGCAGGGATGGGGCAGTGGGATCCCCCGAGGGGAGGCAGAAATAATCAGGAGCCTGCACATGCTGTGTTTATTTAAACAGGGACCGGGTCAGAAGTGTACAGTGTATCCCTTAGAGAGCCAGCAGTGCAGCTTTGCAATGTCCGAGTTGAAGGGGATGCAGATTTAAAATGAGAAAAAAAAAAGTTGTCATTAAAAAACGTCCTATTAACCCCTCAAGGTCAGCAACTGGAGCCAAGTTTCCAGAGGTTTACTACAACCATCCGTGTGAATATGGGAACACCCCCGGGTATTTTGGGATGCGGAGCGAAATCCTGGCTGCGGGACGGGGCTTACCTGGAGGAGGCCGTGCAGGGCGGGCAGGCAGAGCAGCAGCAGAGCCCCGGGCAGCACCATGGTCGCGAGAGGAGGACGGCGCGGAGGGAAGCGGCTCCCGGCTGCGGCAGGATGAGCCTCCTGGGGCTGCGGGGAGGAAAGGATCGGCCCGGCCAAACAGGTTGGCGCTTGTGGAGAGAAGGAGGGAGGTGAACAATGATGCAAAGAAACAACACGAGACACCTGGCTCCAGAGCCAGGGCAGCGAAACCGGAGAGGAACAGGGGCTGGGACAGAGGCTCCCACGTGAAGCGCTCCTGGATTCACTGTGCTTGGAAACCCACGTCGCTGAGCCCATCATCCACGTTCATACGGATTGCAATTTCCCCTATCCCAAGCACCCGGTATCTCCAGGATGAGGCAGGGCCTCTGCTCCTTCCCCATGCAGATCCCTGAGGAAGGGGCAGCCCTGCGCGAGGTGGGAGAAGCAGCAGCCGCAGGACGGGGGACACGGAGCTGCCTCGAGGGGCTGCGGACACCAGCGAGCGCCGCCCGCCAGGGACTGGGCAGGCGGGAAATGCGCGGGCAGAGTTCCCCGGCAATGAGTCCGGGAATGCAGAGTTCGGGAATGCAGAGTCTGGGAATGCAGAGCGTCCTCCCCTTCCCAGCACTCCGCTTCCCCTTTTGCTGGGAAACCCAGCGTCTCCCTGCGCTCTCTTCTGGGAATGACCCTCTTCCAGGTGAAACCCCACCCCTTTCCCGGCCACCGCTTCTCCCGGCCGCTTTTCCTCGTGAAGCAGAAATCACCTTTCTTAATGTAAACCCTCCGTGCCAAATCCAAAGGCCAGGCCTCAGGATGGCTTCCATGGCACCGGGTTCCTGGGGCTGCTTTCTGCCCTCCGAGCCCTCCTTGCTTTGACCAAGAGCAGCTGCTCAGCACCCCGTTGGGTTCCCCAAACTCGAAGCTGCTTCATTCCCCCTCCTCCTTCACCCTAAATCCTGCTGCTACAAACAGCCCCGAATGCCCCTTTCCTCCCCAGTCGTCCCCAGCCTTCAACTCTCTGCCACCTTCACCCCCCTCCCCAGAGACTCCTTCCTTGCTCCCCGGAGGAGCCCCCATTCCCAGCACATCCCAGCGTGTCCGTCCCTTACCGCAGCGCACGTCGGAGCTGGGTCTTGGTTTAGCCCGGCCGGCAGCTCTGCGCGGAGCGGCCTCTTGTCCAGCCCACCCCTCCGGCCGCGACCTTCGGCACCACCCCTTATTTGAGAATTCGCAGGCAAATATTGACTCAGAGCATCCGGCTAAACATTTGTTGGGGGGTAAGAGTGAATCTGTGGTGTGTGTGGAGATGGGGAGACAGTTTAGGCTGCTGCACCCCCTGGACGAGGGTGACACTGAAGCTCTGAAACACCCAAGAGCAAAAATAACCCGTGAGGTCCGTGGTGCCCAAGCAGCTGCTCTGCTTTCCTTGTGCTGTGGTAGGAATGCCCTGTTTTACCACAGCCTCCAATGAAAACACACGGCTTGGCATCCATTGCCACAGGGCTGTTTGGGGAATTCTCCTTGCCTGCTGTTTATCTCCCAGCTGCAGCAACACGAGGTGCTGCCTGTTAACAGGCGGCTGCATCGAGAGCAGCTGGTGCCACCCCGAGCACCTTGTGCCGGCCCCGCAACACGCACGGATGCGGGATGAAGGAACCGTCGCCGGGAGACGCAGCCCCAGCAGGGAGAGCTCCGTGCAGCTTTGAGCCTCATGCAGAGGTCAGAACAACGCTCCCCAGCCCGAGATGTGGCTTTGCCACCTCCTCTGCACGACGGGAGCCACCAAGAAGCAGCGGAGGATGCGAACGGGATTGGAAGCTTCCTTACAAAGTCATCCCGGTCACCCAGGCTTCCTTATGAAAGTCCTTAGCTCCCCAAATCCCTGCAAGAACTAGGAAGGATGGCAGGAGCCAGGGCTGAGGTCTGCAGCCATGAACTATTTAGGAACACACCACATGGGGAAGCCCCATGTCCCCGTTTCGGAGAGTCCTACCTTCTCACATCCAGAGCATCTTCACCGCATCCCCCCCTGCAGCTTTCCCGGGAATGCAGAGCCCGGAGAGCCGCTGCAGACAGGCCGGCCTGCTGTGCTGCCCTGCGCCGCGCTCGGCCCCTTCCAGCCCGGCACAGAGCCTCCCCACACACACTTCTCTGCATCTCTTTCAAAGAGTTTATTAGAAGTAAATATTTACATCTATTGCAAATGGTTAATAGGCAACACGGGACTGGGAGCTCCCTTGGGAAGGAAGGATAGCGAGGGCCAACTGCTCTCCTCCCCAGCGCCCCGGAGCAGAGGGCAGCTCTGGGGCAGCCTTCCCTGTGCGGATGAACTCACGGCTCCGCGAGGCCCTTTCCCCACCCAGGACAACCGCAGGCTCCTCCTCTGCCAGACAGAGGCTTCCCAGTCTCCGGACACTAGCTTGGACGAGGCTGGAGGATGGGTGGGAAGGAGGCTGCAGCACCAGAGAGGCAACTGCTCCTGGACCAAGGATGAGGGCAGGGAAGAGACAGGCGCATCCCAGCGGGGAAGGTCAGGAAAGGGAGACCATGCTGCATTGGGCCCCTCTTTTCACTCTACAGGCAGTTTGGGGGCAGAATTGAGCACCTTTTTGCTGTCCTGTCCTCCTGCTTCGCTACAAGTCTCATCAGCTCAAAGGGCAGCGGAGAGGATTAGAACGTGCAGCCTTGTTGCACTGCACAGAGCACTCCTCACCCTATGGGATGCAGCGCTTCTGGGGCAAGAACCAACAAGAACAGTTCATCCCTATCTCACTGCTCCAGGAGCTCAAATCCTCATGGAAGTATCTAGTTCTATCATCCCTAGAGAGTCATGTTCCCATCCCAAACTATCCTTCTGCAGCAGTTCGTCCCTAAACAAACCAGTGCAGCAGACGGGGTTCGTGCCTTGGCTGTCCTCCGTTCCCGTCTTTGCCCTACAACCAGTAAGGTGACAAGAAGTGCTTTCACTAACCCCTGCTCCTCCCATACAGGATCCAGCCAGGGCTGCAGAACCTAAAGTTAATGCAGTTCATCCTCCAGGGCCTTGACCCCACAAGGAGGAGATGCCCAGCACCACGCAGCTCCAAAGGTGGCTCCCAGGCCCATGGTAAGCTATTCTAATAAGACTGTTCAGTGCTTCAGGAGTGGAAAGTGAAGGATAAGTGCAGATGGTACTAGCTATACTGTTGTGTTCTTATAAGGACAAGCCCTTCCCCTTCCTGATGGATGGGGAGGGATTGCCATGGTCCACATTTCTCTGGAGAGCAGCTCACAGTCCCCTGAGGAGTCAGGCACACATGGTATGGAAAGCTCCAGACCTCTCTGCAGGGGTCACAGTGACCTACAACGCCCAACGTTTCTCCCAGCAGCAGTAGAGGTTCCTTAACTATGGCTTTTTTTTTCTTTTAAAGATACAGAAAGAGGTTAGAGATGCTTCGCCGAGCGCTCACCGACAAGAACGCCTCCCTCCTGCATCCTGCGTTCGGAAACGTCGCGCTGCCTCCTCTGCGAGCAAAGCTGCTGCCAGCTCCCAGCCCTCCCTCCGGAGCCGCTGGGCGGCCGGTCGCTATGCGAGGAGGCGGATGACACCGTTGTCCGAGCCCAGCAGGAGGTGGCACTTGGTGGGCAGCACGGCCAGGCTGGTCAGGGTGCCGCGGAAGTTCTCTGAGCTCAGCTTGGTCGTGCTGACGGGCAGAGCCGACGACTGCAGCATGGAGTAGACACCGATCTTGTTGGCCACGGTGCCCGTCACCACCTCGTTGCCGTAGAGGTCGAACGCGTGGATGGGTTCCGAGGCAGATTTGTAGTGGTGCAAAGGCTTCTGCTCCAGTTCTTTCCAGACAGTCAGGGAATGGTCCGAGGAGGAGCTGATGAGCACATTGCCCTCTGCAGCCTGCGTGAGAGGAAGGGCCAGTAAAAACTGCAAATGAGCTTGGCAAGAAGCAGCCAGCAGTCCAGTAGCCCCAGTGCGATCACTACGGACAGTGCCAGCCATTTCCAAGCAGCTGGTGGTACCGGGCAGGAAAACACTGTTGGCTACAGGGCTCTCTGGTACCTCTATCCCCCTCTGCCACTGTCCAAGAAAAGGGCTGTGCCTCTTCTCAACAGCATCCTGGCTCACAACATCATTAATTCATCAGCTGCTATTACTGCGGTGGGGAAAGAGATTGTCACATGGCCTCTCTCTTCATTAAACCACCTGCCAAATTATCTTCCTTCTCACGGCCATGGAATTGGGGGCCCCTTTCACAGCAGGAAACACTCTGCTGAGGGCAGCAGAAGGCTGGAGCTGCCAATTAGCAGAGCTAGTGAGAGGGTAAACAACCCACAGCAGTGAACTTTGTTTAACCCACACTGGGTCGAGGACACTGCAGTCCCAATGATGCTCCCTGAGGGTGGGTAAATATGGACAAGAGTTATTCATTCTAATGAATAACTAGCGAGGCTCTGCAATGGCAGCCCTGAGGAGAAAGCACCACATTGGCCTCTTCACAGGGCTCCCCCCTTGCCCCTGCTGCAGGGCACACAGACCTGCTCAGCAGGGCCCAAAACCCGAGAGAGCTGCTCAGGTTGGACCAAGAACACCCATACACAGCAGTGACCAAAGGGCTGGAGGGCCTAGGTGGCTTCTTAGGGACACAGCAAGGGGTGGCAGAAGGCCCAGAGGATGGAGCAGAAAAGCCCTGCCAAGGAGCAGGTTTTGGAAGGAGGCAGCACAGCTGTGTCCTGGCAAGTGTCATGAAGCAGCCCCCAACCCAGTGCCTTGCGCTCCATCTTCAACCACTGGTACCTTTAACGGCATGAGCCTGATGCCAGCTGAAGCCCTTACCTTGATCTGCAGGATGTCTCCCTCGTGGGCAGGCCACCCACGCATGATGAGCCCCGTCCTGGTGTCCAGCAGCACGAGGAACCCCGAGGAGAAGCCGGCCACGACGCTGCGCCCGTTGGGGCTGACGGCCAAGCAGCGGATGAGCCCCGCGCTCACACCGCTGGCCAGGCGAAACTCGTGCTGCAAGAGAGGGTCAGCCACGGGGGGCAAA